GGGAAGAGCACACATATTTTTTGCAGACCAACCGGCACTAGGAGGGTAATATAGTAAGCGTTACGCCTGTCGTCTTTACTTCCCCAGGACATACACCCTGGTACCCATTTTATGCTGGGTCGACCTGCCACGCCGCATACCATGATAAAAATCCACGCAGCCAGCAGTGGGTTTCGATCGCCGTACGTTGGAATTTCGCGTCAGACTCTCAACGCCTAAGCCACGGACGCCGCTATTAGAGATGGAGAGTTTGGAAAATTGTGTCTGCTTTCTATTTGTTCCCCTTCCCCTCTAATTATTGAATACATACAGAATAAAAGATTTCTCTGTTCATACTTGACTAAGATGGAGCCCCTGATATGTAGTGCCTAGACGCTTGCCTGCGGATCAGAAGGTGGTGGGTTCGAAACCTGATGGAAGATAGTTTTTTCCACACAAAAAACTTTGGATCCCTAATCGACCCAGCCTTGAGTGGATACCAGGTGCAGTCCTGGGAAGCAGAGGCGGCCGGTGTCATGTCGACGACATCACCCACCAAGTGTCGTTTGGTTTATCCAATATAGGTCTAGCCCTATTTGCCCACTACGCTTGAAGGCCTAAAAAAAAGAATCATTTGTTTCCCTAGCTTGACTAAGACTAGACCAGTCTGTTTGTAATAAGGTTGTTCTGATGCCAAGGATTCCAGTCATCCACCAATCTTCCCTAAGAGGAAGTGAATTCAGAAATAGGAGACTACTCTGATTCATTTGTAGAAATGGATAATGGATAGTCCTGGTGGAGTACAATTAGTGAGAGAATACATAATTCGTTTTCTACTACTGATGTTGCTACTGCTACTACTACGACTACTACTTTTCCTTCTCCTCTCTCTTCTTCTTTTACTAGTACTACTATTCGTCTTCTTCGCGATCACCGGCTGTAAACTCCGGTGGAAATTTGTGGTTGTTCGTCCACTTCTGGACTGCAGTCATGTTTCAGAACCAGAGGTTGCCCGTGCATCCGTTTGACAGATCTCATTTGCGGGCAGACTGTTGGTTCCTTGCCTCTCAGGCAGACACCACCACCGCTGCCGCCACTTCCTCTCCTTCTAGTCTTTCTTCTTCTTCTTCTTCTTTTTCTTCTTCTTCTTCTTCTTCTTTCTTTCTTTTTCTTCTTCTGCTTCTTCTTCTTCTTCTTCTTCTTCTTCTTCTTCTTCTTCTTCTTCTTCTTCTTCTTCTTCTTCTTCTTCTTCTTCTTTTTCTTCTTCTTCTTCTTCTTCTTCTTCTTCTTCTTCTTCTTCTTCTTCTTCTTCTTCTTCTTCTTCTTCTTCTTCTTCTTCTTCTTCTTCTTCTTCTTTTTCTTCTTCTTCTTCTTTCCTTTATTTCCCCGCCCCCTTTCCTTTGTCTCTCTGATTCCAGTCTATGCATTTTTTCTGATTTGCCTCTTTTCCTTTCACTTGTAGATTCTAGTGCAAGAACATCAGCATTGTATTGTTATTGTGTTTTACCAGTGAGTGTCATGTCCATCGCTATCGTCTTTTCCTCACCCGTTGATCCACTTAAATGTGTTCATTACTTTCTCAGATCACCTATCCCCATTTAATAGGTCATTTACAGAGCGTCACATCTATCGCAGCGAGTTTAAAAAATAATTTAAAAAAAAAAAAAAGAACAAAAATAAAAGCCTCTATAAAATGATTCTCTCACAGCATTGAATTATTTCTAATTTGCACATGTAGCTGGTAATGAATGTTGTTAGTTTAATAATAATTTGTCAACAAATTTTCAAAAAATTGTTTCAATGAATCGCCATGTTTCAGCGCCATGAAACAGTCAGTTTTGTTTTCATTGTAGAGCTAAATATTTTTAGTGTGGATCTAGTTTTAATTTGACATATTCATGGCTTTGTCTGTGTTGATAATATTTTATAGAGGATGTCGCCAACCTCAAGCGTCACCCTTTCCTCAGTCACCTGCTACAACACGTCTAGGGGAGATGTCGTGTTGTATTCTCTGCTTTCTCTAAAACCACTGTAAGATACTGGAAATTAAATTCACTTATATAGGCAGTCTTTTAGCAGAACCTGGCAATCATCAACCGGAACGTCACAAAGTCTCTCGCCAACCTGCCCGCCGTGTAAACTTCAATGTCCAGGGCGTCCTTCTGTATCCTGTGACTACAACAGTGCAAGTCCACTCCTACTTTGTCTTCTTTTTATGGCGTTTACTGTGCCCAAAGTATTTCAGTGTTTGTCAACAGTTACTGTCTATGCGCCATTTATCTTGAATGTACAGCTCTTTAACAATGTCACGGCACCACAGAAGGCGATGTCACGCAGACACACCAGGCGCAAAGATGGAGGTCACCCACGCTAGCCGTGGATAAAAGGATATCTCAGTCCAACAATACCAGCATCTACCTAACACACCAGTTTCCATTTTTTTTTTTTAAATGAACACGAATGACCTTGCTGACCTCTGTTGAACATATTTGTTTTTCTTCTAAATCCTTTGTGAAGGGAAATGACAATTCTTTTTAGAGTTCCTCCGGGAGAAACATATTAAGAAAGTCTATTTTAGATCACTCATTCTAATTATGTTTTCCCAATTATAAAGTGCTATTTTTGCTGTCTGGGATACAATTATGTTGTGAAAACCTGGGTTCATGAAAGTCTAGACTGTTTACCATTCTAGTTAAGCTTGATTATTTTCGTTCTTTGTCCTGTATCCTCTATTGTCTGTATCTAACGACTCAGACGAGAATATGATTGTTATGGGAAAGCTTCAGTTGGTTCTAAAGTACATACTGCCTATTTTGTCAAGTGTTTGGCCTTCATATTTTTTAGATCTAGATATATTTAGTCGTGGTGACCAATTTCTGTTGTCACTTTCTTTCATTCCCTAACAGTTCCTAGAACAGAGGGAAAATTTATGGTCTTCATTGTATGAAGCTGGGTCACCTCATAACTGTATTTGCCTGGGAAAGAATTTATGTACATGAAAATTAACATTTAAACACACAAAAAAACAACAACAAAAACAATCGTTATGCAATTGCAAGAACAGAAGCATGATCCAGATATGCATAGAGAACCGGAAACTCAAACCAGCTAAAGTGTCAAGGAATCTAATATTTTCCTATGGAAAAACTGGAAGCACAGATAGAACGGATGTATGAAAGCAAATAAAATCAATTGGCAGATGTCATAAATCTTGCAGAACAAACAGGTAAAAAGACAGAAAAGAGCACTATTTAATAAAGTAAATTTTTAAATCAGCTTCTTATTAAGTAAAGGAAAGTAAAGGACCCATTTCCATGCCTTCAGGCGTATAGGGCATATAGGGCTAGACCTATATTTTTATAGATCATCGGCACAAGATGGGTGATGTGGTTTACATCACGCCAGCCGTCTTTACTTCCCGGGATTGCACCCGGTACCCACTCAAGGCTGGGTCGACATGGGAGTCAAGGTCATTTTAAAAAAAAGTCTGGCTCCTCCAGGGAGCGAACCCACTACCTTCCGATCCGCGGCGAGTGTCTAGCCGCTCCGCCACAGAGACTTACAGCTTCCTATTACTAGTGCCAAACGTGCACACTGACAACAAAAGAAAAGTTCTGTCACTGCTTGGCTACAGATGCCTCACTAACGCCTGCTAGCACGTGACAATGTATATCAGAGGGCGGATACAATTTAAAGTCTATTTCATGCAGCATCTCCCTGCGCCTTCTCTCACTTTTGAACCCCTAATGGGTTATTTATACGATTGTCTTCCCATTAACACACCACCGGTTGTAGGTCAACTCCATCGATAAGTTGGTTTGACTAGTCTACCGTGGTTGAGATTATAGGTGTCGCAGTCTGTTGTTGTCTGGCTTTACGTTTTTATTTCCGAAAGAGGGGCGGCCTGTGACATAGGTTGTGTCACTCTCTAGGGGGGTTGTGTGTAGACCCAGTATATAAATGTTTTAGAAGTGGTAAAAGCTCTTGCATGGTGAAATATACAACACGCGGTGGTCAGTAGGTCGTCCAATCAGAAGCGAGCTAATGTTTAGCGGTGTGGAAGTGGGGAGACCAGCGTAAAATTTACCCTCCTAATGACACGCTCAAGGCGGAAACAAGTGAAAATGTACACATATTAGCACCTCGATAATTAACGTATAAGTTGGTTTATACGATGACATAGTTATACTAACCAGAAAATGTTACGACAGCCAACCTTAATCAACAGACACCAATAAGACACAAAACACAACATGAAACAAGGCAACAAATGTATCGCTGCTTTCCTAATGTTTGATGATGAATGTTTGTTGTCGTTCATTTGTTATATCGTAAAGCTGACCAGTATCTGTGTCTTCAGGTTGTTTTAATTGTCCACATATGTGTCATGCAGTCGTGTGCGAAAAATATGTGCTGTCTGCGACAGTTTTCCCGCAAAGGACACTGATGGACGGAGCAACTATGAGGTGACCCGTTTACTAGGAAGTTTGAAATGCCATTACATAATTACCTGATTACCTGTTTGTGAACTATTAATGCATCACAAATAATGAATCTTCCTTTGCTGTGAAACCTTCAGTAGCTAATCGGAGAGTAACAGTAAGTCAGTCCCACAAGTGGGCTCATTTTGTGCATATAGAGATTATATGAGCATACTTCTCGTCCTTTTTAGGATGCCATTTTTCGTTATTTGAAGCCCTACTCTGGCTTTTGCCAGGGGCCGCAATATAGCCTGGCCATAAATATGGTCTAAAGGCTGAACGCGGTTTCTCCGACCTCTCCACGGTGATCCTCACTCACATGGTGGCACATTGTGTCATCGCGTGTTTATCGCTTGTGTAATGTCCTGGTGGGGTAGAAAGTCAGTCAGTCGGTATATAGAGACAGAGCTTTCCGTGGAGATAGAGACAGAGCTTTCCGTAGAGATAAAGACAGAGCTTTCCATGGAGATAGAGACAGAGCTTTCCGTGGAGATAGAGACAGAGCTTTCAGTAGAGATAAAGAAAAAGCTTTCCAGATAGATAGAGACAGAGCTTTCTGTGGAGATAGAGACAGAGCTTACAGTGGAGATAGAGACAGAGCTTTCAGTGGAGATAGAGACAGAGCTTTCAGTGGAGATAGAGACAGAGCTTTCTGTGGAGATAGAGACAGAGCTTTCTGTGGAGATAGAGACAGAGCTTTCAGTGGAGATAGAGACAGAGCTTTCAGTGGAGATAGAGACAGAGTTTACAGTGGAGATAGAGACAGAGCTTACAGTGGAGATAGAGACAGAGCTTTCAGTGGAGATAGAGGCAGAGACAGAGCTTTCTGTGGAGATAGAGACAGAGCTTTTCGTGGAGATAGAGACAGAGCTTTTCGTGGAGATAGAGACAGAGCTTACCGTGGAGATAGAGACAGAGCTTACCGTGGAGATAGAGACAGAACTTTCAGTTGAGATAGAGACAGCGCTTTCAGTGGAGACAGAGACAGAGCTTTCCGTGGGGATAGAGACAGAGCTTTCCGTAGGGATAGAGACAGAGCTTTCATTGGAGATAGAGACAGAGCTTTCATTGGAGATAGAGACAGAGCTTTCCGTGCAGAGACAGAGCTTTCGTGGATATAGAGACAGAGCTTTCCGTCGATATAGAAACGGAGCTTTCCTTTGAGATAGAGACAGAGCTTTCAGTGGATGTAGAGACAGAGCTTTCCGTGGAGATAGAGACAGAGCTTTCCATGGATATATAGAGACAGAGCTTTCCGTGGATATAGAGACAGAGCTTTCCGTGGATATAGAGACAGAGCTTTCCGTGGAGATAGAGACAGGGCTTTCAGTGGAGATAGAGACAGAGCTTTCAGTGGAGATAGAGACAGGGCTTTCAGTGGAGATAGAGACAGGGCTTTCAGTGGAGATAGAGACAGAGCTTACCGTGGAGATAGAGACAGGGCTTTCAGTGGAGATAGAGACAGAGCTTTCAGTGGAGAAAGAGACAGAGCTTTTCGTGGAGATAGAGACAGAACCTTCAGTGGAGATAGAGACAGAGCTTTCCGTGGAGATAGAAACAGAGCTTTCAGTGGAGATAGAGACAGAGCTTTCTGTTGAGACTGAGACAGAACTTTCACTAGAGATAGAGATAGCGCTTTCAGTGGAGATAGAGACAGAGCTTTCCGTGAAGATAGAGACAGAGCTTTTAGTGGAGATAGAGACAGAACTTTCTGTGGAGATAGAGACAGAGCTCTCCGTGGAGATTAAGACAGAGTTTTCAGTGGAGAAAGAGCTTACAGTGGAGATAGAGACAGAGCTTTCAGTAGAGAAAGAGCTTACAGTGGAGATAGAGACAGAGCTTTCAGTGGAGATAGAGACAGAGCTTTCAGTGGAGATAGAGACAGAGTTTACTGTGGAGATAGAGACAGAGCTTACAGTGGAGATAGAGACAGAGCTTTCAGTGGAGATAGAGGCAGAGACAGAGCTTTCTATGGAGATAGAGACAGAGCTTTTCGTGGAGATAGAGACAGAGCTTTTCGTGGAGATAGAGACAGAGCTTTCTGTGGAGATAGAGACAGAGCTTACCGTGGAGATAGAGACAGAACTTTCAGTTGAGATAGAGACAGCGCTTTCAGTGGAGACAGAGACAGAGCTTTCCGTGGGGATAGAGACAGAGCTTTCCGTAGGGATAGAGACAGAGCTTTCATTGGAGATAGAGACAGAGCTTTCATTGGAGATAGAGACAGAGCTTTCCGTGCAGAGACAGAGCTTTCGTGGATATAGAGACAGAGCTTTCCGTCGATATAGAAACGGAGCTTTCCTTTGAGATAGAGACAGAGCTTTCAGTGGATGTAGAGACAGAGCTTTCCGTGGAGATAGAGACAGAGCTTTCCATGGATATATAGAGACAGAGCTTTCCGTGGATATAGAGACAGAGCTTTCCCGTGGATATAGAGACAGAGCTTTCCGTGGAGATAGAGACAGGGCTTTCAGTGGAGATAGAGACAGAGCTTTCAGTGGAGATAGAGACAGGGCTTTCAGTGGAGATAGAGACAGGGCTTTCAGTGGAGATAGAGACAGAGCTTACCGTGGAGATAGAGACAGGGCTTTCAGTGGAGATAGAGACAGAGCTTTCAGTGGAGAAAGAGACAGAGCTTTTCGTGGAGATAGAGACAGAACCTTCAGTGGAGATAGAGACAGAGCTTTCCGTGGAGATAGAAACAGAGCTTTCAGTGGAGATAGAGACAGAGCTTTCTGTTGAGACTGAGACAGAACTTTCACTAGAGATAGAGATAGCGCTTTCAGTGGAGATAGAGACAGAGCTTTCCGTGAAGATAGAGACAGAGCTTTTAGTGGAGATAGAGACAGAACTTTCTGTGGAGATAGAGACAGAGCTCTCCGTGGAGATTAAGACAGAGTTTTCAGTGGAGAAAGAGCTTACAGTGGAGATAGAGACAGAGCTTTCAGTAGAGAAAGAGCTTACAGTGGAGATAGAGACAGAGCTTTCAGTGGAGATAGAGACAGAGCTTTCAGTAGAGAAAGAACTTAAAGTGGAGATAGAGACATAACTTTCAGTGGAGAAAGAACTTAAAGTGGAGTTAGAGACAGAACTTTCAGTGGAGAAAGAGCTTACAGTGGAGATAGAGACAGAGATTTTAGTGGAAATAGAGACAGAGCTTTTCCTGGAGATAAAGACAGAGCTTTCCGTTTAGATAGAGACAGTGCTTTCTGTGGAGATAGAGACATAGCTTTCCGTGGAGATAGAGACAGCTTTCAATGGAGAAAGAGACAGAGCTTTCCGTGGAGATAGAGACAGAGCTTTCCGTGGAGATAGAGACAGAACTATCCGTGGAGATAGAGGCAGAACTTTTAGTGGAAAAAGAGCTTACAGTGGAGATAAAGACAGAGCTTTCCGTGGTGATAGAGACAGAGCTTTCAGTGAAAATAGAGACAGAACTTTCCGTGGATATAAAGACAGAGCTTTCCGTGGAGATAGAGACAGAGCTTTCAGTGGAGATAGTGACAGAGCTTTCAGTGGATATAGAGACAAAACTTTTAGTGGAGAAAGAGCTTACAGTGGAGATAGAGAGAGCTTTCCGTGAAGATAGAGACAGAACTTTCCGTAGAGATAGAGACATAGCTTTTCGAGGAGATAGAGACAGAACCTTCAGTGGAGATAGAGACAGAGCTTTCCGTGGAGATAGAGACAGAGCTTTCCGTGGAGATAGAGACAGAGCTTTCAGTGGAGATAGTGACAGAGCTTTCAGTGGATATAGAGACAAAACTTTTAGTGGAGAAAGAGCTTACAGTGGAGATAGAGAGAGCTTTCCGTGAAGATAGAGACAGAACTTTCCGTGGAGATAGAGACATAGCTTTTCGAGGAGATAGAGACAGAACCTTCAGTGGAGATAGAGACAGAGATTTCCGTGGAGATAGAGACAGAGCTTTCCTTGGAGATATAGACAGAGCTTTTCGTGGAGATAGAGACAGAGCTTTTCGTGGAGATAGAGACAGAGCTTTTAGTGGAGACGAGACAGAACTTTCAGTGGAGATAGAGACAGAGCTTTCAGTGGAGATAGAGACAGAGCTTTCCGTGGAGATAGAGACAATGCTTTCCGTGGAGATAGAGCTTTCAGTGGAGATAGAGTCAGAGCTTACAGTGGAGATAGAGACAGAATTTTCCGTGGAGATAGAGACAGAACCTTCAGTGGAGGAAGAGCTTACAGTGGAGATAAAGACAGAGCTTTCCGTGGAGATATAGACAGAACTCTGTTAAGATAAAGACAGAACTTTCAATGGAGATAGAGACAGAGCTTTCAGTGGAGATTCAGACATAGCATTCTGTGGAGATAGAGACAGATCTTTCCTTGGAGATGTAGACATAACTTTCAGTGGAGACACAGAGTGCGGCCGTCCTGACTTCTTTGGTTGATGCAACCTGACTGGAAGTATTTTGACTTTGCTGCCTACCAGAAAGGGATCTGTGTCAAAATCGGCGCTCTGAGAGCTTTGTGGATCTTGACAAGGTCACAATGTTTAGTGAGACTATCGAGTTGGTGTTGTTGGAGTGCTTAGATCTGGGGTATCTACAAGAGACTTTGTGTTCGGACTACACATTACAACAGACATTTGTGACGCCGAGGTTATGGAGGGAACAAAGTTCGAGCAGTCTCTGTTCATTATAGTTCATATTTCCCCAAAATGACCATGAGCAAGGCATACCGCCAGAAACACATCTTTGATTAGTGATGTGAGAATAAACATATGAGCAAATTATCCATACCCTTGGATGTTTTTCTATCCCGTAGCAAATCATGTAAAGTTTAGATACTGACTGCTGGTTGTACGCACACAGTTACAGCTGCTGTACTAGTAAAAAGCAAACATCACACGGCGACCGGTCAATACGCTTACGTCATGTGCTCTAAAGATAACCTGTCATTGAACTCTTGGTTCCAGTACAAATAATGTAGACTCATTTGTTCCCAAATCCAAGACGATACTTCGACCTCTTTTTTCATGTAATTACCCAGTTGTCTATGAAGACGGCGATGATTATACTTTCGCTGCTGTGAAAGCTTGGGTAATCTTTGAGTAATTGCCATCTAAATTTGTCCATATTTCTTTGGGTGATTAATTCTCTAGTCGAGCAGATCGTGACACCAGTTGTTTTTCACATGACCGTTTTTTCTTTTGTTCTTTTTGATAATTATGCTTTACGGAACTAGTTATGTAGATGTTTGTCATTCTTTCAGTACGGCCGCATAGTTTGTTTCCTGCTGTGAGGAGCGCTGGTCACTAAGCACTTGAGCAGTTAATGTACACTTGTGGTATATGTACACTTGTGGTATATGTACACTTGTGGTATATGTACACTTGTGGTATATGTACACTTGTGGTATATGTACACTTGTGGTATATGTACACTTGTGGTATATGTACACTTGTGGTATATGTACACTTGTGGTATATGTACACTTGTGGTATATGTACACTTGTGGTATATGTACACTTGGGGTATATGTACACTTGTGGTATATGTACACGATGACCAAGATTTCTGATTTGTTAAAAACCAGGAACATGTGACCTGCAGGTCGGTTCTACAGAAATCCCCGCATAGGTCCCTGATCCACATTTTGGATGGGACACGTAGATCCACGGCTTCCTTACCTAGCTGTAAAAGGCAATGAATTAAGGACTTTCTGAAAGACAATGCTTTAGGACAATAGGTGTTGATATCGCAGCTCAGCTGTAAACCACAAACAGCGTGGAAGAACGACGGAGAAGCTTTGCAAATCACCACGAATGACGAGGAACTAACCAGTATTCGTTTCCCAAATCACCATCTGTGTGTTGAGAGACTAGACTATCATCGCGATCTTAGAGAGACTGGTGCATCGTGGAATCACTAGAGGATCTGATCAACCTTAGCCTTCAAAGCTCATCAAAACGGGCATATATATAATCGGACTGCACACAGTACCATTTGTAGTGTGCCTCTGTGCCGAAAGAATGTTGAATCACGGCATTAAACAGAAATGGTATTTGATGGTGGTGGTGATGATGATGATGAGGAATATTCAAATGCTAATTACCGCAGTAATTGGAACATTGCCACCAAATGACAAAAATATGGTTGCGTACACATATTGTTATCAATTAAGTTTGAGCCATTCATAG